GACTTACCGTTTACTATGTTACGTCTAGTCTATGAGAGCAGGCTGCACTAACACACTTTTCAAGCATTATCCATTCATTGGACACAAGACCCCAACTGTTCTTTATTGTAATTCGAGCAGCAATAGCTGCACAGTTGAAACAGTGGGGAATATGCCCCTAAAAATGCATTCAAAACGCTGAATACAAGTACAACTTTGGATAATCGTAGAATGAATAATCCATACACGGTAGTGGGAAGTTTTATTGAAATGTCTTTTACAAAGTTGGATATTGATGTCGTTATATAGGGTCACTCGATACAAGTCCATTACTTTGTACTGAAACATTGGTGAGGAGATTAAAACCTGTACCTTGTGTGTCCTCATAAACAAATAAACAAACAAACATCACAGATGATGACCCGCACTGCAATGTCTGAAAGCAGAATTCCTCTTTGTCCCATCGTAATCATCATCATCACACTACCCAATATGCACATTTAGATACATACTGCAATGTCTTCTGCAGTTGTATAATGTTTGTGCCAATTCTTCACAGGGGTGTTTTTATTAAGGCAGCATACTTCAATGCAAGGGGGAAAAACAACATAAAAATGTAGTCAGTTTTATGATGTTCAGTCTGTACAGTAAAATAAGTAGTTGACGTTAACAATATCATTTCCATATAATGTTTTCATTGGAGGAAGTGTTGTGTTCCTATTTTGTCTACTAAACGTTATAGTTTAGTGACAGTGCACAAAAGTCCAGGTCTGCAAATGGAGACGGTAAAGCAGAGGTGCATTAAACTTGTTTATTTATCACTAATGAAGGATTAGGTAACACTTCAGAAGAATGTTTGACCATAATAACGTAGTAGCTACATTATAGCTGGATTAACAAATGGTCCACTAACTATGAAAAAATAACAGTTTTAAGTGGTTTTAGTGTTAGTAAATGCATTTGATTTCCCAACTTACTCGTGTAAATGAGTTCTCATGTAACAAGCCTATCATGTAACCTAACTCCTTTGTCCCTCTTACTCCCTCCAACTCTACTGTTGAGTAAGTAAAGGTTAATTAAGTTTTTATTGACATATTCATGAATCCCGCGGCGCCATCAGTTAACTATTTGGTAAGGCGTCACTAATGAGTTATTGTCGTACAATATTATACATTTCCTAGGAGGGTTGCCTTTAAATGTGCTTTAAAGTGCGACGTGGTTTAAATTGAATTTAAGCCTTTTCTTACTACGTGAAAATAATGTGGTAATCTGGATCCAGTCATCCTCTTTCTCCCATGACTTTCCTTTAGCAGGTACTTTATTAGCTTCACTTGCCAGATGTACAGTATAGCTCTCTAATTTGCCTTGGCCAAAAGCATAGCTTACCCCAAGATGGAGTACAGTAACGTTTCCTGGAACCTTTGTCAACCGGGTATAGTCAAATCACTCTTGAGGCACACACTCACTGAAATAAATAACCCAATAACCATGCGGTCCAGGTTCTTCAGACCTAGGTTAAAAATCATTTCAAATACCTTAGTTGTGCTTGATTGAGTTTGCCTGTTGCAAAAGTCCCAAAAGTGCAAACGGCACGCTCCTGGCACACCAGGCAGGCTAACGCAAAAGCTCAAAGTATTTGAGAGATTTCAAATGGTATTTGAACCCAGATCTGGTTTTCTTACGGACTTCAAAGATTTTCAACAATCAAAAAGTATCACTTGTTCTCTAGTATAGGCTATTGTAAATGTATTTTCATTGCTAAATGTCTAACCTTGAACGTGGCATTGCATTCCCTTCTTTAAAAATAATTTAAATAAACGGACATATCATTCTCTCATGAACTTTGGCTAGTATAGCTTATAAGCCATGAAATAAATGTCTTTAGACAAGTTACCAGCAGTTTCACCTTAATGTTTTAATTAGTTAAGATGCCCATTAGACCTTCAGGGCTAATCATCCTAAATGATATAGGTAACGTTTAAACACAGTGCATTTTCTGATGATTGTTGCTCCCCTCACAACATTTATCTGTAAGCAGTTAGGATCAACTTCTACAAACAACGCAATTATCTATAGCTTTCTAAATGCTGCGTCTTGCCTTTGGTGAGCAAGACCATCAATAAATTAGTATAGACTAAGGAAGACTCCTGTCAATCAAATAGGTTACCAAAAGGCCAGAAATTGTTCCCGCCCCATTTCTGATAGCAGACGTCATGCTAAAGACACGTCAGGAAAACGAAACTAAGTAACTACGGCCACAGCAACTGGCTTGAATAGCAAGCCAGTTTTGTATGGTGGCTGCGAAAAAAATCTATGCTTATATTGATTAATCTACATTATCCATTATTGAATCTTTCCCTTTGTCTCCACTCCGTCTCACTGTTACTAACTTGATGATAATCTAGGATTTCACATAATCTTTTATCAAGTGTGATCCTGATCATCCATTGGCCTATAGTTACCAGACATTGATTAGTGATTGACATAGCCTTTGTGATATATGACATGGTGTGTACAAGATTATGACACCACCACATGACATCCATGAGCATGTTGATATGTCACTTGTTTTGTGTCATGACAAAAATTGAATCTTCTTGCCTTACAATCATCCCAGCGGGCAAAACTGGTTGTCCTGAGGTCAGGTTCACATTTTGTGATTTTGTGATGTCATGGTCATATTTTGTGATGTCATTAGCTACTGATTGTAAAATAATGTTTTTATAGGTTTTTTAGCTACCATAAAAATATTCCTTTACCTGGTTGTATTCCGGTTATGCAGTCTTTCCCAGGCATCTTGATGTTGTTATGAAAAAGGTATCTTTAACTGATTGTAATCAGGTTATTTGACATAACTTTAACCACATTTCAACCAACATTTTTGCCCACTGGGAGGAGACTGCTGATAACTTCAAAAAAAGTGTTTCAAAGTAAAAGTGAATACAATTGTACAATTTAATGTGTAATTCATTAATTGAGCACTATCATGCAAGATTGATAAACTTACTGTGTTTTATGGGCATCATAAATATATAAATTCCTCCAATAATACACATTGCAATTCTGCATGTGTGCGTGTGGAGAGGGGGGGCAGTCATTAACTTAACCCCTAATGTAGCTTTGATGCATGGACTTGTTTCAGGACAATTGCTGCGTCTGAGCAGCGTTTCAAAGTGCAAGCATTTTCTGGCTCTTTTCTCAGGACTGGATTCAATCCGTATCGCCGAAGTATCGCCAAAGAATCGCAGAAGATCCTGCGTTTACAGGCATTTCGCTACACCCGCAATAACATCTGCTAAATATGTGTGTATGACCAATAAAATTTGATTAGATTTTTCAAATGTAAAGGTAATTTCCGATTGGGCCGACATATGCAGCGTTTACCGTGAATGCAGTCTCTGCAAACATATCTGAAACAAAGAGAAATGTAAAGTCCTTTCAAACCATTGCCTTTAATTGTCAATCGCGCTATAAAACAGATCTTCAGTGTTACGGATTGAATAGAGCGTTTCATATAGAAATCTTAGCACCTGTACAAGAAAAACAAATTCCAAATACACAATACTTACAGTATTGTGATACAAACAATATTGTGAATAAAGAGGCAGGACTGCAATAACTCTTCACTATTCTCTTGCAAGGTAGCCATCACTAGTCCGCATGCTCTAATATTTTGTGAGATTTTGCAATTTGCAATACAATTTAGTAGCTGGTCAATTTCATAAAACAACACTTCATTTCAAGGAAAAACCGCAGACATAAGTTGTATAAATGCCTTGATGGCTCTGGCGATGATAGTGATAAACATGTTCAGGGAAACAAGGCGCTTGTCTGTCCTATACCCCTGGGATATATAGTTACAATTTACACCCGCTGCAACCATTTTATGGTCTATCTATGCACACTCTGGCAAACATGTTGTGAAAAGGCAAACACATCTGAAACAAACAGAAAAGTCAAGTCCTTTCAAACCAATTACAACACTCAGAGAGCCACTGATCAGCGAGGCCAACTCCTCACACACCACCAACCAGATTACAGACAGAGTGTGTGTGCTTGTGTTCAAGAGAATAAATTCTTATGACCTGAGATTATATGTTGGATAAAGAAATGTAAAAATGTTTAAATTTAGTCATAAATACCACAGAAAAGGCACATTAGTGCTCCAGGATGGAAACGTAATAATTCAACTAACAATGTAAAACAACTGTTTTCCCTTACTAAATTGTCATTATTAGTTTTAATGATTTTGTTTTGGTCATTTAAACATAAAAAAAGAATTGAGTATACATTATTGTACTTATGAATAAATTATACTGTATGGATAGAACTACAATAGCCTATTTTGCTTTGCACTACACAAATCAAAACCTCTGACATTTTGCCTTTCCACCTTCTTATCTCTTATCTCTTCCTTCATTATTTGTAATACTGTCCATCAACATCAACATACAAATAAGATAATTCTCCTGATAAATTATTTATAATTCTTGATAGAAAACATTTCATTGGACATGGATTGGAAATAACACGTAAAAGTATAGATTTTCCCAAATGTGACTCCAATCCTAAACGTATCAACATTTCTCTAATACCAACATTGAGGAATCTGGAAATCCATCTCAAAAACAAAATCAAAGTCGATATAATCCAAATCAAGATAATTCCTGATCGGCTCTCTTGTAATGGGAGACAAAATTAATCTGGTCAGGATAGTTTCGTTATTTCGTGGTTGTCAATTTGTTTGTTTGTTTTTTGCAGTGAAGTTTTTGAAGCTATGGGAACAGTCTATGGAAGCCATGCCTGTCTGGTTAACAGTCCCAGTAGTAGTTGGATTTTCTGGGGTTGGGTGAGGGAGGGTGGACGTGTGTGTGGATGGGTGAGGAGAAGGTGGGGGCACAACGTGACCCAACTTCTGCCTCCTCCACCCCCCCCTATTACCCGACCCCCAATGGTCCCTACCATAACCTTAATAATCCACCTCCTCCATCTCAGGCCTTGATGTCTGTCTGTATGTCAGGTCAGACGCTAGTGATGGACGCCAGGCAGGTTGAAGACTTCTGCAGTTTCTCAGGCTGTGCGGTATGGGGGGGTTCTGGGATGGCGCGAAAGCTGAACGGCGGACCAATGCTGGTGGTGCCCATGTGGCCCGGACTCAATGCTGGATTCTGTCGTCTATTGCTGTCCATGATGCTCGACGTGTTGGAAGCCAGGCTTTCACGTGTCCTGCCACGACAGTGAGAGGGAGACACGTCCGTGGAGTAAAGAGAAGGAGAGGAGAGAAAGAGAATTAGAGGATGGGGATAACGGAGATTTGCAATAAGTGGGAAGCAAACTAGCCACTGCCACCAACAGCTTTTCATTTTCTAACCAAATACCAATGCCCCACTGTTAGCATGCTTTAAAGGTCATGCCCAAATCATCTCTGAAATGGATTGTGTAGCTCTATGACTTAGTTGAATGTTACTTTGGGATGATTTGGGCATGCAATTTACAGCATGCTAACTTGAGGACATTGTGTTTTGGTTAGAATAATATTAGCAGTTGGTGGCAAAGGCTAGTTTAAATAAACCAAAGCATGGATTGCAGTCTCTCCTTGTCCATAGACTTCTTTCAAGGTAATTTGTAAATTTGTAATTTGGCTATCCCAAACCTCATGTGTCAAACAAAAGGCCCACGGGCCGGATCGTGACACATTTCAATCTGGCCCGCGCAATGATTTGGGTTGTCAATTCATTTTGCCACGCAGCCATGCACAGGCAACGTGCTGTGCACCAAAGGCAGTGCATTGCCCCACACTTCTCCTCCCAGACCCACACACACACCACCTCCCAGACCCACACACACACACACATACACCCACGAGCCAGCCAGTGCGCTGTATCATATCATCACTAAACATTTGCAGCATCCCCAACTGTTCTCCTTAATGGCACTGATTGAATCTTCTACCAGCCCGAAAGTTTAAGCGTGTTGTAGGAACTGGGTTATTGCTGTACTACAGAAAGTGTCATATTGGTTGTCAAAAAGTTACACACGTGAGTATAAATTAGGACCCATGCGAGTATGATGAGTCAACAGTTTATGAAATTACAACCTGATACGCTCCCAAATTGCGCTGCTTAAGTGTGTCCCGTTTATAGCGTGCAGCGGAGGGAAAGTGCACAGACACATGCCACATCCTAGGCTACTAAAATGTTGCAGTCTGGCTTCAGATTTTAAAGCTTTACAATAAATAACCAAAAAACTAAACCTGCAACAAAACACCATACAAAGGGTAAACGTAGGCCTATTACGTCAACATTTGAGCAGTAGGCTGGCTACTCAACTACAATAAATTTCCAGGGCACCATACAGCAATGCTGCATTCAACCGCACTGGTGAGCCATGCAGCATGTAAAATGAAAAACATGTTTTAAGTTTAAATGTTACAACAACCTACCTACATTTTTGTTGTTTGCAGTTTAAAAAAAATATATATATTAGGGTCGTAGCATATTATGCACATCTGCAAGCATAGCAGCAAAGGCTGGACAAATATTATTTATCTCTTCTTTTGTTTTATTTATGTTAAAATGCTATATAGAGAATTCTATGTACTTTTTAATGGACATTATATAAAGGGGCATACTTTTTAAAATAAAACAATGGCCAGTTTGGGTCACAGTTGTATGCCAGTTTTTTTCTAAAAACAAACATATAGGTCATGTCTGGACTGTGAATTTGTTGTGTTTTTTCAATATGGCCCTTACGGTGATTGAGTTTGACACCCCTGACGTAATACATTCATTAGTGCCATATCCATAAGGAAGAGTTCCAAACAACAGGACAAAGCAGCAGAGACTACAGCAAATGTGTAGAGGCTTCAATCAGGGTGTATATCTGGTCAAATTAAAATCAGTTTTTTGGGGATGAGCTACATTGAAGTTTTATATTTCAATTTGGCATCATAATCAACAGGACTCATAACAACATTTAGATTAGCGCTCACATCTGTTATATGTAAACGATTAAAGCTGGAACCCTAAATGGTGAAACTGACATGACCGTTTGGTATATTACAACATCAAAGAAGTTACTGCAAACAACACACAGTTTTCCCTCAGACGTCATTGCACGCGAGATAGAACAATTGTTTTTACCACGATGCTCACCTCCGTTTGGACGCTCCTCACCTACATTTAGTCAACAAAACAAAAACAATAACAAATGTGCCTGGGGCGACCAGTGGCGATGTAACATTTCCATCTGCAACTACCACCAAATGTCAATTACATACCAGTAGAAGCAAAGGAATAGAAATCAACAGGAGTAAAACATACTTTTTAAAAGGCTGCACAACACTGCTAGTTAGCATTTGTACCGCTAATTAGCATTTTTACCGCAACTAATAGGTCTGGCTTAATTACAATTGGTTCATGTTCACAAGGTTGACAACAATAGCAAAAAAAATCCTTTCAACTGAAGTATTTTGGTTTATGACAAAGTAAGAAGCGGTACTAAGCCATTTTAAGCGTCCTTCAAAAAAACATTACTAAATCGAATATAGCTAAAATATTATATATACAGTGCTGTCAGAAAGTATTCACACCCCTTGACTTTGTCCACATTTTGTTGTGTTACAAAGTGGGATTAAAATTGATTTAATTGTAATTTTTTGACAACAATCTACACCAATTTCTCTAAGGTCTAAGTGAAAGAAAAATTCTAACATTTGTAAAAGAGTCATAAAAAATTAAACTAACATATCTTGATTAGATATATAGGAGTCAATACCTTTGGCAGCGATTACAGTTGTGAGTCTTTCTGGGTAAGTCTTTAAGAGCTTTGAATACCTGGATTGTGCTACATTTGCCCATTATTATTTTCAAAATTCTACAATATTCAAAATGAAAATTCTTGTTCATCGTCAGTTTCTCCTATCACAGCCATTCAACTCTGTAACTGTTTTAAAGTCACCATTGGCCTCATGGTGAAATCCCTGAGCGGTTTCCTTCCTCTCTGGCAACTGAGTTAGGAAGGACACCTGTATCTTTGTAGTGACTGGTGTATTGATACACCATCCAAAGTTGAATTAATAACTTCACCATGCTCAAAGAGATATTCAATGTCTTATTTTTTTAACCCATCTACCAGGTGCCCTTCTTTGCGAGGCATTGGAAGACCTCCCTGCTCGACTGAGGGACCTTACAGATGTGTGGGGTACATAGGGCGGCAGGTAGCTTAGTGGGTAAGAGCGTTGTGCCAATAACCGAAAGGTCGCTGGTTCTAATCCCCGAGCCGACTAGGTGAAAAATCTGTCGATGTGCCCTTAAGCAAGGCACTTAACCCTAATTGCTCCTGTAAGTCGCTCTGGATAAGAGTGTCTGCTAAATGATGTAAAAAAATAAAAAAAATACTGTAGATGAGGTAGTCATTCAAAAATCATGTTAACCACTATTATTGCACATAGAGTGTGAGTCCATAAAACTTATTTTGTGACTTGTTAAGCAAATTTGTACTCCTGAACTTATTTAAACTTGTCATAACAAAGGTGTTGAATACTTATTGACTCAAGACATTTCAGCTTTGAATTGTTTTACTAATTTGTAAGAATTTCGAAAAAACAATTCCACTTTGACATTATGGTGTATTGTGTGTAGGCCAGTGACAAAAAAAACTATATGTTTATGTCTCTGTGTGCTAGCAGATACACATAGACTTCCAGTCATTGCGCTATCGCTAGTTAGCATTGGCTCATGAAACTACCTCTGACTTACTTCATACTGGACATACAGACATAAAAATGGTATCCACAAGTTAATCTGACTCTAGGAAAGTAGATAAAGGGCCTCATTGGCAAAATCTCGAAGTATCACTTTAATACCATTCTAAAGACAGCTGCTCCAAGCAAGTGTGTGTGGAAACATGATGCATGGATAGGATGGCCAAGCCACTGGCACGCTATTACTGTGTACATTGCTTGGAATGGGAATGTCTGTTCTACTAATGCTAATGCTAATACGCTTGGAAAGAGGACACATCACCAACATAAAAATAAAACCTTAGTGGAGCCACCTTATCCCTTTGGGAGGCAGCATTACGTTTGCTAGAAAATAGCGGTACAGTACCTGACTAACTGTAAGTAAGTGAAATGTTTTGCCCCCCACAGTTAGCAAGATAGTTAGCTAACTAGCTTAAGTTCTTTACAGTTAGTTAGCAACTGCTCCTACACTCTTTTGCTAGATACCGTAACAATGTTGTGTCAAAAAAGTACATATTTATTTTGACAGTGAAGCTAAAACTTTTAATTTGGCTCTATACTCCAGCATTTTGGATTTGAGATCAACAAATTCATCCAACAAGTTTGTAGAGTCGAAAGCTTGATGTAGTCATTGTGGGACTAAATACTACACTTTTCACTATAAGTGAATTTGTCCAAATACTTATGACATCTTCAAATGGAGGGACTAGATACATAAAGCGCATTCATTATCTTAACGATAAAACAGATACAGTGGGGAGAACAAGTATTTGATACACTGCCGATTTTGCAGGTTTTCCTACTTACAAAGCATGTAGAGGTCTGTAATTTTTATCATAGGTACACTTCAACTGTGAGAGACGGAATCTAAAACAAAAATCCAGAACATCACATTGTATGATTTCTAAGTAATTCATTTGCATTTTATTGCATGACATAAGTATTTGATACATCAGAAAAGCAGAACTTAATATTTGGTACAGAAACCTTTGTTTGCAATTACAGAGATCATACATTTCCTGTAGGTCTTGACCAGGTTTGCACACACTACAGCAGGGATTTTGGCCCACTCCTCCATACAGACCTTCTCCAGATCCTTCAGGTTTCGGGGCTGTCGCTGGGCAATACGGCTTTCAGCTCCCTCCAAAAATGTTCTATTGGGTTCAGGTCTGGAGACTGGCTAGGCCACTCCAGGACCTTGAGATGCTTCTTACTGAGCCACTCCTTAGGTGCCCTGGCTGTGTGTTTCGGGTCGTTGTCATGCTGGAAGACCCAGCCACGACCCATCTTCAATGCTCTTACTGAGGAAAGGAGGTTGTTGGCCAAGATCTCGCGATACATGGCCCCATCCATCCTCCCCTCAATACGGTGCAGTCGTCCTGTCCCCTTTGCAGAAAACCACCCCTAAAGAATTATGTTTCCACCTCCATGCTTCACGGTTGGGATGGTGTTCTTGGGGTTGTATTCATCCTTCTTCTTCCTTCAAACATGGCGAGTGGAGTTTAGACTAAAAAGCTCTATTTTTGTCTCATCAGACCACATGACCTTCTCCCATTCCTCCTCTGGATCATCCAGATGGTCATTGGCAAACTTCAGACAGGCCTGGACATGCGCTGGCTTGAGCAGGGGGACCTTTCGTGCGCTGCAGGATTTTAATCCATGACGGCGTAGTGTGTTACTAATGGTTTTCTTTGAGACTGTGGTCCCAGCTCTCTTCAGGTCATTGACCAGGTCCTGCCGTGTAGTTCTGGGCTGATCCCTCACCTTCCTTATGATCATTGATGCCCCACGAGGTGAGATCTTGCATGGAGCCCCAGACAGAGGGTGATTGACCGTCATCTTGAACTTCTTCCATTTTCTAATACATTTGTTGCCTTCTCACCAAGCTGCTTGCCTATAGTCCTGTAGCCCATCCCAGCCTTGTGCAGGTCTACAATTTTATCCCTGATGTCCTTACACAGCTCTCTGGTCTTGGCCATTGTGGAGAGGTTGGAGTCTGTTTGATTGAGTGTGTGGACAGGTGTCTTTTATACAGGTAACGAGTTCAAACAGGTGCAGTTAATACAGGTAATGAGTGGAGAACAGGAGGGCTTCTTAAAGAAAAACTAACAGGTCTGTGAGACCCAGAATTCTTACTAGTTGGTAGGTGATCAAATAATTATGTCATGCAATAAAATGCAAATTAATTACTTAAAAATCATACAATGTGATTTTCTGGATTTTTGTTTTAGATTCCGTCTCTCACAGTTGAAGTGTACCTATGATAAAAATTACAGACCTCTACATGCTTTGTAAGTAGGAAAACCTGCAAAATCGGCAGTGTATCAAATACTTGTTCTCCCCACTGTATGTATGAAAATACCCTCAAATAAAAGGTGATATTTTGTACTGTCGCCTCATATAAAACATTTGATCTCAAATCCAAAATGCTGGAGTATAGAGCCAAATTATAAGATTTAGCGTCACTGTCCAAATAAATACGTAGCGGAGTGTACAAAACATACCTCCAAAAATGACAAGTTGTCTCCAGTTGTGTTTACATTTTACAGATTGTGACGATATCCACTTTCTATGTGTATTCTTTGGTCATAATCCTCTGGTTGCTGTAGTGAACAGACTGGGTTCAGCTTACCTTGGGGAGTTGAATCCACTGTCTACAGTCACGCTGCTGCTGTCCATGCTATCCAGACGTGCCGAGTGCGCTGACTTCTGGCTGCTGCTGTTCTCTGTCTCCTTGGGGCTGAGCAGCTTGAGGTTGGTCTCAAACTTGCGCTGCAGATCACGCTCCTTCTCTCGCTCCAGAAGCCACTGCATGGTTCCGACTCCACCCCCACCCTCCCCGTGCCCTTTGCCCTCTGCCGCCACTAATTCCTTCCGCGAGGCCTCCTCCGCCACCACCTCCTCGTCATCGTCCGACACATTGTAGTAGTCAAAGGCGGCCTCGGAGGCTGACGGGACCGCTGGCTCGGAGCCCTGGGGGCCCAGGGCGGAAGCGGGGGAAGCTGCTGAATTCGAAGGCTGCTGGGCCTCTTGATTGTCAAGGACCTCGGCTGATTTGATGTGTGGGGTCTTTCGCAGGGTGCCCGACTTGGTGTAGGTGCCCTCCACATAGCCTGCAGTCAGTGCGTTGTGTGGAGGCTTGAACAAAGTGTCCTTGCTGAAGATCTCCTTCCTCTTGTCCGCCATGCCGCCACCGCCTCCCCCTCCAGGGTCTACGTTGTGTTGGTGTTGTGTCAAACGTCCGTTAGGCATGGGCTCTGGGGTCTGGCTTGGTGTTGGCCGTTTTGAGCCGTTTTGCCCCTTTGCCAAAGAGTCCTCTTTGTATTCCATCGTGAGGGGAGAGGTAAGGTGAGGGGTGTGGCGATCAGCCGGAGTGCCCTTCCGGATTCCCTCAGACGAGGTTAACGTGTCGTGGTCTGCTTTTGACAGAGGTGAAGGGGCGGTAAGGATTGTTTCGTTCGACGTATTGCACTGGAAGTAGTCATCCGCCGAGGGCTTGGGCGAGAGTCCCTTCAGATCACTGTAGGCCGGCAAGCTGTCTCTACTCTTGTTCCTTTCCAGCGGGCTTCGTATCCTAGACTCGTCCAAGCTCCCTTTCCCTAAGCTCCCCTTCCCTAAGCTCCCCTTCCCCACATCAGGCACACACATTTCAGAGTTGAACTTAGCAGCCGAGAACATGATCCTTGAGTAGTGGGACGACTTCTGGGAGGCCCGCAAAGTCCCGTCATCTGTGTAGTAACGACTCCGCTCATCGGGACTCCGCTCATAGTCCTCTGACATCCCCAAAGAGGAGGGGCCCATTCCGCCCAGAGGGCTCAAAGCGTTATCCATGGAGCGGGACCTTTCCTTAGCCTGGTCGGGCAGCTCATCGCGCGACTTCCTTCCTTCTTGAGTGTGACTGTGGCTTCGGTGCACTCTCCCGCTGGATGTCCCGCGAGAGGGCTCGGGGAAAGGCATCTCTGTCCTCCTTTTCGCCAACTCCCCGGACACGTCCCACTCCGGGGTGACGGGGAAGTGGGACTCTGTGATGTTGGGGTTGCTGTGGACCATGTAAGTCCCGCCGCTTCGTTTGCGCTCCAAGGTGTACATGGCCTCACGCGGGGAGCGCACCAGCGAGTGGCTGAAGAAGCGGCTGTAATCCCTGTCCACCATGGCCATGTCCAGTTTGGAACTCTCGGACGGGTCGCCCCGGGAGGCGCGTGTCTTGCTGTGTGAACGGGACTTGCCGTGCGGCACCCGACGGTGACCACGACTCCTCCGGCTGCGTGCACTGTGCTCAGCTGAGCTGCCTGCTTTTCTCCTCTGGGCACGCTCCTCCTCCAGCCTTTTCATTACGGCCGTGTGGCGCGCCACATTCTCCACCGTCAGGTCCGGGTTGATCCGCCGGATGATCTCCATCTCCACAGTGCGGGGGATGGTGATTGCAGGCGCGTCCTCATCACGGAGGGGCCATTCCTCGGGGGGGAACTGGGCCGAGAACGTGGCCAGCTGCCTCAGCTTGTCTTTCTTGAAACTCAGCCTGAACAGCTTCAGCCCAAACTTCTTTGATTGCTTCTCGGCACTGCTGCCGCCACCACTGCCCTCCTTCTTTTTGGTCAGTGTGTCGGTCTTGTAGGGGAAGGGGGCATTGCTCTTGCTCTTGTCCGTCAGAGGATCTTGCAACTGTGACGTCGGCGTCTGAACGGGAGCCGGAGGGGGCTGAGGGTAGGAGGGGGGATCTCCCCGAGGCTCCTTGGGAGACTTCCTCTGGTAAGCGGGGGCTTGAGGGATGGGCGTATCATCGCGGTACGTGCTGTAGGAGTCACCGTGGTTCTTCTGGTTGGGCCTCTCCCTCACGCAGCCCGGGGTGGAGGGCGTGATGGTGCCCGACTGTGGGGAGGTGCACTGCTGCTGCTGTTGTTGCTGCCGGTCGTCCAGGTGGTACCACTTGCTGTTTGATCGGATGAGGTTGGGGGTGATAAAGTAGGTCTGGGGAGTGACAATGAAGTAGCCCTCAGGTGTTGGGTAGATTTTCCTTTCTCGCACCAGCATGTTTAGGGTGTGTCGCAGAATCTCTGAGCTCGGTGTCGGAACACCTGAGGGAAACACAGACGGGGGAAAGACAACAGTTTTACAGTCACATCAGCAGTTCAAAACCAGAGTTCTAGGACTTACATTTCAAGAGTGAAGTATTTTTTGGTGGGACTTGCAAAGCAAAAGTCCCAACTTTAAATCTTCGTCATACTTTTGACTTTTTATTATTATTATTTAGGACCCTACTCCTCTTGCACCATTTAAGCTAGAAATGCCGTTCAAACTTTAAAATGTGTAGACTGGTCAGGACCAGTGTGCTTACATACAACTTCTTGATATACTTTATACTTTTGAAGTTATACATTTTTTGTCCTTATTTTTGTCCTCCAACCACTTTCATGGCATTTCCCCATAATTCTAAAGGCCCCATTGTGACATCATCACTTCCAACATCCCATTCACTGTAAATGCAACAATGCAACTTTTGACACAAATCCTCTACTTTGACCACTTGGCCAACAACTTAGACAAAAAGTTAGAAGGTATGACTTCTTTGTCTACTTCTCTGCTATTCAAATCTGAAAGCGGATTAGGAATAGCTTCTACCAATCAATAGATAGAGCTGTAACCCATCAACCGCTCTCTTTATAGATGCAGTAAATCATGTCAGAAGCTAGCAGATTCATTACTTACCATCAACAGCTGCAAATTCCAATAACAATACATCAAGTTTTAAAGTTCACTTTCCTTGCTTTGTCTAACAACACTATCATGAATCTAGCAAATACGTTTTGTGGGTCAATGTGCAGTATTTATTTAGTTTCAAAGCACAAATGTTTGATAGCATGTTTCTCATACTGGCTTTAGCCAAGGCAACTGTTGCCTAGCAAAAACTGCCTCGGACACAATTGCCACCGTTCACTCTCTTCATATTTCACCCGATCACTTCTCATTGCACTTCTTTCAGTTTTCAAATGCAACAACTGTAGTTTAGACACTGAACACAACCACACAACTACTGACCACAACCACACAACAATTGACCACACAACTTCTGAAACACACAACTACTGACCAAAACCACACAACTACTGACTACAATTACTGACCACAGCCACACAACAACTGACCACAACAACTGACCACAACAACACAACTACAGACCATAACTAATGACCACAACTACTGACTCACCTACTGAACACAACTACTGACTACAACTACTGACCACAACCACTGACCACAACAACTGATACAACAACATACCATAATTACTGACCACAACTACTGACCACAACCACTGACCACAACCACTGACCACAACCGCTGACCACAACCACACAACTACTGACCACAACTACTGACCATAACTAAAGACTACTACTACTGACCACAACAACTGATCACAAATACTGACCACAACCACACAACTACCGACCACAACTACTGAACACAACTACTGACCACAATCACTGACCACAACCACACAACTACTGATTGCAACCAACTACTGCCAACACAACTACTGAACCACACAACTACTGACCAAAACACTGACCAAAACTACTTCCCACAATCACTGACCAAAACCACACAACTACTGACCACAACCAACTACAGACCACACAACTACTGAACCACACAACTACTGAACACAGCTACACAACTACTTACCAACTACTGAGCACAACTACTGCACATAACTCCTGACCACAACTACTACCCACAACTCCTGACCCCAAATACTGACCACGACCACACAACCACTGCCCACAACTACTGACCTCAACTAATAACCACAACTACTGACCACAACCACACAACTACTGGCCACAACCACACAATTACTGACTACACAACTACTGACCACACAACTACTGGCCACAACTACTGACCATAACTACTGACCACTACTGACCATAACTACAGACTACGACTAATGAGCATAACTACTGATCACAACTACTGACTACAACCACACAACTAATGACCACAACCAACTACTGACCACACAACTACTGAACCACACTACTACTGACCACAACCACACAACTACTTACCACAACTCCTGACCACAACCACACAACTACTGACCACAATCACACAACTACTGACCACAACTACTGACCAAAATCACTGACCATAACTACTGACCACAACTACTGACCACAACCAACTACTGACCACACAACTACTGAACCACACAGCTACTGACCACAACCACACACCTACCTACCACAACTCCTGACCACAACTACTACCCACAACCACACAACTAATGCCCAAAACTACTGACCACAACAACACAACTACAGACCATAACTCCTGACCACAACTATTGACCACAACACCTGACCACAAATACTGACCATGACCCCACAACTACTGACCACAACTACTAACTAAACTAATAACCACAACTACTAACTCAGTAGGGCTACATACAGTGAATTCGGAAAGTATTCAGACCCCTTGACTATTTCCACATTTTGTTACCTTATTCTAAAATGGATAAAACATTTTTTATATTTTATCAATCTACACACAATATCCTATAATGACAAAGCAAAAACTGCTTTTTAGTCATTTTGCAAATGTATTGAGTGGCGCAGTGGTCTAAGGCACTGCATCGCAGTGCTAACTGTGCCACTAGAGATCCTGGTTCGAATCCAGGCTCTGTCGCAGCCGGCCGCAACCGGGAGACTAATGGGCGGCGCACAATTGGCCCAGCGTCGTCCAGGGTAGGGGAGGGAATGGCCGGCAGGGATGTAGCTCAGTTGATAGAGCATGGCGTTTGCAACGCCAGGGTTGTGGGTTCGATTCCCACGGGGGGCCAGTATAAAAAAAAAAACACTGTAACTGTAAGTCGCTCTGGATAAGAGCGTCTGCTAAATGACTAAAATGTAAATGTATTAACAATACAAAAACAGAAGTACCTTATTTATATAAGTATTCAGACCCTTTGCTATGAGACTCAAAATTGAGCTCAGGTGCATCCTGTTTGCATTGATCATCCTTGAGAAATGTCTACAACTTGATTGGAGTCCACCTGTGGTAAATTCAATTGATTGGACATGATTTGTAAAGGTACACACCTGTCTATATAAGGTCCCACAGTTGACAGTGCATGTCAGAGCAAAAACCAAGCCATGACATCGAAGGAATTGTCCGTAGAGCTCCGAGACAGGATTGTGTCGAGGCACAGATCTGGGGAAGGGTCCCAAAAAAATTCTGCAGCGTTGAAGGTCCCCAAGACCACAGTGGCCTCCATCATTCTAAAATGGAAGAAGTTATGAACCACCAAGACACTTCCTAGAGCTGGCCGCCCGACCAAACTGAGCAATCGGGGGAGAAGGACCTTGGTCAGGGAGGTGACCAAGAACCCGATGGTCACTCTGACAGTGCTCCAGTGTTCCTCTCTGGAGATGGGAGAACCTTCCAGAAGGACAACCATCTCTGCAGCACTCCACCAATTAGGCCTTTATGGTAGAGTGGCCAGACGGACGCCACTCCTCAGTAAAAGGCACATGACAGCCTGCTTGGAGTTTGCAAAAAGGCACGTAAAGGACTCTCAGACCATGAGAAACAAGATTCTCTGGTCTGATTAAACAAAGATTGAACTCCTTGGCCTGAATGCCAAGCGTCACGTCTGGAGGAAACCTGGTGGTGGCAGCATCATGCTGTGGGGATGTTCTTCAGCGGCAGGGACTAGGAGACTAGTCAGAATCGAGGGAAAGATGCACGGAGCAAAGTACAGAGCGATCCTTGATGAAGACCTGCTCCAGAGCGCCGGACCTCATACTGGGGCGAAAGTTCACCTTCCAACAGGACAACAACACTAAGCACACAGCCAAGGCAATGCAGGAGTGGCTTTGGGACAAGTTTCTGAATGTCCTTGAGTGGCCCAGCCAGAGCCGGGACTTGAACCCGATCTAACATCTCTGGAGAGACCTGAAAATAGCTGTGCAGCGACCCTCCCCATCCAACCTGACAGAGCTTGAGAGGATCTGCAGAGAAGAATGGGAGAAACTCAAATACAGGTGTGCCAAGCTTGTAGCGTCATACCCAAGAAGACACAAGGCTGTAATTGCTGCCAAAGGTGCTTCAACAAAGTACTGAGGAAAGGGTCTGAATACAGTGACTTGCAAAAGTATTCACCCCCTTTGGCATTTTTCCTATTTTGTTGCCTTACAACCTGGAATAGATTTTTTGGGGGGCGGTATCTTTTGATTTAGACAACATGCCTACCACTTTGAAGATGCAAAATATTTTTTGGGTGTGAAACAAACAAGAAATAAGACAAAAAAACAGAAAACTTGAGCGTGCATAACTATTCAATTCCTCTCAGTAAACTGAGTAAGTCAATAAATCAGTAAATAAGATAGGGCACAATTCTACTGCAAATTATATCACCATTTATAATTTTTTGAAATAGATTGATCAGATTCATGAATCTGCCTCAGAATAACAGTTAATATTTGAATCCTTCCCTATTATGACTCTATCGCCTCCTATTGCCTCCCCAATGCATGGTGTCATACAGACTAGAGCCGCCAGACCGAGACAGAGCCAGAGGTTACACTACTCTGTATCCTTCCTCCATCCACCCCGTCCTTAGCTAACCCTACAATCACAAACACAAAAGTAGGCCCTCTGGATAAAGCTGTACATAAGCGTTTACTAGTAAGAGTTTACTGTTGCATGACATTACATCACACGTTGTTAGTTGCCATACCAACATGACGCAATTAGACATTAAACTCTGTTTTAAGACATCTGCATGGAGGGAAGAGATGCTGAATTTAAAAGAAAGTTTACCTACTTGGAAAGGAGCCATGTGGAAAGTGACATTTACATTTACGTCATTTAGCAGACGCTCCTATCCAGAGCGACTTACAAATTGGTGCATTCACCTGAGTGGGATAACCACTTTACAATATGTATTTTTTTTTGGGGGGGGGGGGGTGGGGTAAGGGGGGGATAGAAGGATTACTTTATCCTATCCCAGGTATTCCTTA